AGAACACTCATAAAAAGAAAGAAAAGCAATGCTTTAAAACCCCTTGTTTCCCCCGTTAACACACACACACGAAAAAAAACAAATTTCATATGATTCACCAACGTCTGTTCATGCAGTAATTGTGATCAAGTAATACGGAACATCACAATGAGGTTGATCAAAAAAACAGGCAAGGGATCACATATAACTCAATAAAGCAATTTAATTAAAGCCCAAAGAAAATTAAAGTGATGTGTGGAAACAAAAAAAAAAAAAAAACGTATTATCGTGTTCCACACAAATGTATATAAGAGGCAGACCTCACGGCAACATTATCATAGAAAGTGTCAAGAAAACAAACATAACACTCGCGAAAACAGAAGCTTTAAAAGAACCATCAGTACCTTTTTTCGCAGCAGCATTATTATTCTGCCCACTCACAGATGAGGTAATGTTTTCTTCCTTAGTTTCACTGGGTTTTGATTTAGTCGTACTTGCATCATTTTGTACCACCGGCACAGACACTCCCTGGTTACCAGCATTTTCACTTGGTTTGGGGGTTCCAGTGGCCTCAGTGGCTTCTGGTAGACTTGTTTGGACCTCTTCAACAGTGTCTGGGTCTGTTGCTGGACCTTGTGATTCATCCAGAGTTTTGTTGATTGTATTGCACACATCAGCGTATTTAGGGCACACAATTTCACCCTTCAGCAAATCCCCATTCACAGTTAGATTTTTTCCTTCAGGACAACTGTACCACTCCTTGTTTCCACTGTACCGCACAATTACCTTGTTGAACTTGCAAGACACCTCCACACACACGGCACCAACTGCTGCATTGTTGTTAGCCGTCAGACCCTTACCCTCCACACAACGTGAGTTGTTAGCAATTACACTTCCAGGCATTTTAGTTCTCTGCTCACCATTGATGCAGCTGTAACCTGGCTTTGCCAAAATAAAAGGGCAGTAATCCATTTGTTCAGATTCTTCTGAACCAATTCTCGTAGTGTCAGAAAAGTATTGGAACTCCCCCGAAAGATTTTCTTTCTTTGCCCCAATGATGCTGCAACTCCCCAGCGACTGGCGGTCAGATGTGCACTGTAGTGACTCAGGAGTGGCAGCTCTTTCGGTTGTGCAGAACATGTTAGAGAAATTACTTTCCCCGCTGTTAACGCACTTATTATCCAAAAATTCACACCCAGAATTATTGCCCCAACTCATCTGCTCTGCCATTGTCCAATTAACTTTATAGTAGCCCAGATCAGCGAAAGCGCCCAATGTGAGTGCGGTGTAGTACCCAGCACCGACGAGACCAACCATCAACTCATCCTTTGCGTTTCGGCGACTCCAGTGAGAAGATGCGAGCGTGATTACATAACGTGGGGGCAAGCGTCTCTTTTTCACCTTGTCTATTCTTTCATTCACTTCTTTTGAAGACGATGTGGTAAGTCCAGCGATGTTGCTTGCCTTCGTTGCAGATTTAAGAAGATACGAACGTCTGTTTCCACGTAAATCTGATGAGTCACTTGTTATTTCCGATACACTATGAGTATCCGCATTTCTTAAATGATTTTCTCCCACATGTGGCTGAGCACCTTCCAATGAGTGCTCTTCATCATTATATTCCGCTTGCACTGCTGACAGTAAAGAAGATCGTAATGGGTTTTCCAAACTCACAGTTTGCGCCACAATCGTATTGGTCGCTAACACTCCTGTCGTTGATATTTCTTTCTTTCGAACAAAAAACAGACCCTTTTGTATCTCCATTCCTTTGGCAGAATTGCAGTTATAATGATTTTTGGTTTCTCTTAGTACATTTAAAGAATTAACATGCTGTACGTCAAATCTGAGGTAGCCATTGTACCACTTAGGCCCCATACCTTTCCTTTCCATCTCAGGAAGATTAAATCCAAGTGCATGGGCAATCTCATGAGCAGCAACGCGGACACGCTGTGGTGTGGCCACAATATACCGTGGACCGTAATTGATGATCCCAATAACTGGACGACCATTACGACCTAATGTCGCACATGTTGCCGCCCACGCGAATGTTCCCTCAGGCGTCGGCGTAGCAGCAACATACAGCACCATATCATAATCGGAAATAGCAGTACTTTCAACAGTTGTTGGAATGAACTGGGAACAAAGACCATTTGACTTTGAGAACTGCGGCACGACAATAGAACCATTCAAAGGCTGAACAAAAAGGCGTTCCTTGTGCAGTTTAATTGCCTCAGGGAGAATCTCTTCAACAAGAATTTTCTTTTTCTCTGCCGTCAAGATATCATTTTCTGTGCAAGTAAAATCTTCCTTTAATAAGGTTGTAATATTATTGGTTTCTTTGCCAGTACAATCATGTCCAGTCTTTTTCAAACCATCAGTAACAAGTTTAATGCGAATCGGTTTCCATTCTTCCCCAACCGGTTCTTCTCTGCCTGCAGGAGATCGTTGACTATTGGAAGATAATCGAATTTGTTGAGACTCCCTTTTTTTTTCAATTTCCTTGTCATACTCAAAGATAGGGCCAACACCAACACGCAAAGCAACAGTATCGTGCATGCAGCGGTGGTGCTCTGTCACAGCAAGAGTGACAAGGGTGCAGTACAGAAGGAGCAACGGAGCAAACAAGAAGAGACGCCGCATTCCTTCACGTGTAAT